CTGCATCTTGACTGCAGCTCAGGAATAAATAAAAGATGAAGAGGAATTAAGAATTGCCTGCTCTTGGACTTTTCGGCACCTTTTTCACAAGTTAGGATTACCAAATCTGAGTTGCAAAACTCTGAAAGGCCATCAGAAGGCAGAAATAAAATAGTTTTAAAAACCTAACCCTTTGCTGACATCTAATGGCTATCTGGATTTGTGCTACCCAGCAGAAGTCCTTCAATTCTTTTTGCAGGCAGTTCAAAATCAATTGGCTATGCCTGCTCCTGGATCTGTAACAAAATCCTATTTGTTGGAGTACATTTCACATCATGGGAGGAAGTGTGCTTCATGACAAGATGATGTTAAAATCATGAATCTGGCAAATTGCCTGAGAAGTCAGCAATCTTAAATTCAACTTTAAGAATAGTACTGAAATGATGTAGTGGTTAAAACGGCAGCCTGGGCATAGAGAAAATTTGGTGAGAACTCACCACCAAGCTTATTAAGAAGATCTGGGGCAACTTTCCTCCTTTTTTGTCACCTCTCTCTTATTTTGTGATGAAGATAAAATTGCATGGAGGAAGAACCAACAACCTCCTCTGAAGAAGAAAAAACATATAAAAAACTGTTAAGGGAAGAAAGTGGGATGGCTTGGTTAGCAAGCAAAATTAAATATGGAAGGAAAGCTTAAAATTCATTTCATGGAGCCGATCTAAGTAGGCATACAAATCCTTATACATCAGGAAGGGAAAATAACTAACCTCACTGGGGTTTCTTCAGCTTGTCAATTGCTTATAAATATTCCAGGGGTGATAAAGAAAAAAAAATATAACATTGCAAAATAATTTAATTCTGTCCATGAGTAGCTAATAACAGCTGTTCCTCACACAGCCAGCCATCCTCACAAATGGGCAGGAATCTATTCTGAATCTGTTCTTTCTCCTAATAAACTAGGGATGTCAAACTCACGATGTCATGTGACGTCACGCAACATATCAGGCAGGTTTTGCTATTGCCAGCAATGGGGTGGGCGTGGCTTTAGTATGATTAAACCAACTCTGAATGGGCTGGTAGTTTGACACCCCTGTAATAAACTATAACCCATGAGCCTCTGGGAACATCTGAACACCTGTGACTTACTACAGTGTAAAAGTGGAAAGAGACAGTTCTAAGTCCAGATGTTTTGAGTAGCTTAAAACAAATATACCTTTCTTTAAAAATGCACACAGAATAAAAATTCATTGATGAGGTGATATGAAAACAACTGTGACCAAAATCCAAGTGTAGCAGCTGCCTTGAACAAAATAGTAGAAACAAGTTTTGATCTGAGTTTAATAACAATTAAAACTATCAAATTAAACTAAAACAAAGAAGTGTCTTAGAAAGCCAAAGAAGAGCTGCAAAGTGTGTCCGCAAACATACTGCTTTGTTTTCTACATCAAGAAGAGGAGGGTAAAGGAATGAAAGAGATGAGCCAAATCAGTCAGAAACAAGAAAAGTTCAGTCACAACATTTGCCACCTTAAAAAAAAAAAAAAATCTCTAATGAAGTGGCTTTTCATCAGCTCGTGGTTTCACAATATGACAAAGCTTCCTTTACTGAGAAGAGCCAATAGGTAAAGTTAGACCTGATTCTTTGCCAATTGGGGAAAAAGCATCCAGCAATTCTAAGAGAAAAGTGGATTTACAAAACTTCATCTTGCCTCTTAGTGGAGCCAGGAATGGGTGCAGTAATGGAGGCTCCCAGCTGCACAGCTAATCCAAAGCAGTGCAACCCCCCCCCCCAAGCTATATACCTCCAAACCTTATTCTTTTTATTGCAAAATTGGCTTCAATGGTATGTTGGGATTAGCTACAAAAATAAGATATACCGTATTTTCTCTGACTAGCAGTTTGTGTAGGGGGAAAGAACACTATATTGTGGAAGGCAGGTAACAATTGGGCAAATGCAATTGCAGTGACCCCCCAAAATGCCGTGCACTGTGACTTGGGACTGCACTCAGTCCCTCCACCCCACTTTAGAGGCTGCAAGTACCACGTTGCTCTGCTTGAGTTAAAATAATGAACCATCAACCTCAGTGTTGAGTCCTTGGCGAAAAGCAGACATGAGAAGCAGTTGTAGTTCTCAGGTTTTCTTTTATTCTGTGTTCAGCTTACAGATGAAGACTTCAGCAACGCCCAAAAGCTCCCAGCCTCTTATATAGGCAATTCCCGCGCATGCGCACAGGTGCTGGCGACAGCCTGTCTGGTCCCGGGCAGCTTGCACCTGCCCAGGACTGCCTGCAAACGCCCCGAGCCCGTTTGCAAGGCTCGGGACATAACACTCAGTATTTTAGCTTTCTGTACTCAGTCAGTGTTATCTTCCTCCCCAAATTGTCAAAAGGATTTTCAGGCAGATGTCTCTCTCAAGTGTTTCTCCGCTTCCCCCTGTAAATGCTATCAGAATATGCTGGGAATGAGTTTAGGAATTTGGCTATAGCCCATCTCCCAACTGACAGCAAGTCCACCACAGGCAAGCTGGTTAGCCTGGCTGTAGTCACATGAAACAACATTTATGTTTTCAAACGAGATTGTCTGCAAGCCTGATGCTTATTTTGTTGCTTGCTTTACTTTGGGACACAGATTTAATTCTTGATTTTATCTGTACACGCTGATGTAATTAATAAGCGTATTCACACCTTTCTCTTACTGGTGCCTTCCAGGCAAAGACTCAGCATATTTTTTGAGTCAGCTATCTGGGGATTATGGGAGCCATGCTCCAAAACCTCTGAAGGGTACCGTGGTGGGAAAAAGCTGACCGAACCAGTGAAACAAATATCTGGCCTTGTTATGTATTCATTGTGAAACAAGGCATGCTTTTGCCCTTTCGAAAACTCATTTTTCAATTCTGTTTTTTATCATCCTTTTTCTCTCTGAATCCCACAAGGTACTTCATAAGCTGCAACCTTATTTATTTTCCTCATGGTAACTCCAATTTCACGCACCAGAGAATCAGTGTAGTGTGGCGGTCAGAATGTTAAAATCATGGACTTTTGTGGAAAAGCAAAAAGATACCGAACACCAATATATATTCCACGATACATAGAATTAAAAAAATTAACATTCAGATGAAACCCGAATTTTCTTACGGACACTCAACTAGAAAAAGCTCACGGATGATTGGTTTTATATGTGGTAACTGCAGTGAAGCTGTTATAGGCATAAAGATGGAAGACTACAGAAACACCATTAATGGAGGTATGGATTGTGAAAATGGCTGAGTTTGCAGAAATGGCTAAATGGCCTTGTTTGATTAAGGAGGTAAGAACTACCTTTATAAAAGACTGGAAACTCTTTATAGACTTTTTTTTGGTGGAGATGGATAAAAATGAACTGCAGATTTCAGGATTTATTGATTTAAGAGGTTTGTTTATAGGAAGAAAGTAACTTTAATATGTAATACAAGAGAATGGAGATGATCATTGCTAGGTTTGTAACTGCCTCAAAAAAGATTGGAAGTCACTTCTTCAGATATCTTTCATTTTCTTTCTTTTTTGTTATTCTTCACTTTTTCTTTTACCCTTTAGAACAGTGGTTCTCAACCTGTGGGTCGAGACCCCATTTGGGGTCGAACGACCATTTCACGGGGGTCGCCAAAGCATGCTGTCGGCCATTTTTTTCCCCTTTTCCCTAGCTGTCCTACTCCCTCTTATTGGTGGCCACACCCACTTGGGGGTCACCACAACATGGGGAACTGTATTATGGGGTCACGGCATTAGAGAGGTTGAGAACCACTGCTTTAGAATCTTGGTCTTTTTACAATTTTTCATTTTTTTATGATTCTGTTCTTTTTAAAATTTTTGTAAAATTTTCTTTTAATAAAAATTAATCATTTTTTTTAAAAAGTGTTAAAATGACACCAGAGAGACACAGGTTTGGTTTACCCTCAGCCATGGGGGCTTACTGCGGAATTTTGGAGCAGTCACTCAGTTCAACCTACCTTGTTAAGGAAAATTTTATTTTATTTATTTCATTTATTTATATCCTGCTTTTATTATTTTTACAAATAAGTCAAGGTGGCAAACGTATCGAACACACGTTTTGTCCTCCTATTTTCCCCACAACAAGGCTGTGAGGTGGGTTGGGCTGAGAGAGAGTGACTGGCCCAAGGTCATCCAGCTGGGTGGGTCATGGGCAGCCCTTGAACTCATGCTCTCCCAGTTTCTAGTCTGGTGCCTTAGCCACTAGATCAAATTGGCTATATGCCCACCTTGAGCTCCTAAAGATAAATAGGTAAAGCTAACAAATTAATTAATAAAAATAAACATACTTCTGAATACAAACCCATTGTGTGGCATTAAGGCAGATCTGAATAGTGATGCCCTTTATGTGGTTTTTTAAAAGAAATATCTTCCATATTGGAACAATTAAGGGTGTATCATTCCCCCTGCCCCCCCAAAGACTATAATAAAGATGAAATAAAAATGAGGTAATTGTACATAGGCACAACTGAGATGGTCACAGTGGCTGAGTGGGGCAGTTTTTAGGAAACATGTGGGGTTGATTTTTTTATAATCAGATGGTAAAAATCAAGTATTGCTTCTTGTCATGGTAATTGCCATAAATATAGCCCCAGCTTTCTCATTTTCTAAAATTGTTTAGTTCTTTTGAAGTAGGCAGATAAATTTTCTGGGGGAAGGACGGGTGATACACTGAATGTAACGGTTGAAGCTGTGGAGAGGTTTGATGATATTTCTAGGAAGAGTAGAAAGCTATTCTGCATTATAAGCCTCTAGGTGGATTTGATAGATTATCCTCAACATTTTCCAGTGACAGACTGCTATTCAACAGGCAAAGCTTTTCACAACCTAAAATTTTACCACTCTGTTGCCTGTCTTTTAAAAAACAGGGTAGCCCCATGTGATCCTTAGCTGATCCTTAGCTAAGTGCTTTCTTGATTTCCTCCAGATGTGCATATTCCCAGCAGCATTGCTAAACTGCAGGACTGCAGATTGGGAAAGATAGGTAGTATGGGGCTTTGATAAGTCATGCTTCTCCCCTTGCCGTGAAAAGCTTCATCTGTTCAACCTCCCCGCATCACCAACTCTTTCTTGCTCTCTGCTCAGCTCTTAGCTCCCTCTGTGGAGCTGGTTCAAGAGCAGGGGCTGTCCCTCTGCATGACCTCTCTTGCTTTCTTCTCAGCCCATAGAAGATAAGGAAAGATAAATGCACCAGCAGAACTGAGAACAGCTGGAGGAAGTCTCTGATCAACTCTGTTACTGCTCCTTTAAACTAGGAAACAAAACTTAAGGCTGTTCCTCGCCCTGTCCAGGGAGATCCCTCCGTCCCAAGCAGCTCTTATGACCAGGTTCACCAAGGGGTGGAATGTGGTAAGTTCTCCTTGTAATTCTGGCCTGTTTATATGTTTTTATTTGCAAGGGTTTTTTTTTTGTTATCTCAGATTGTGAACAAGAAGAGGAGAACTCAATGTAACGGTTGTCTGCTGTAGGTTGGCGTTTGTACTACTTTTGAAGGGCATCACTATGTGAGAAAACCAAAAATGAATTTTTGACAGTGTTTTTCTTCTAAAAAAACACCACCAATACTCCGGGAAGGGCTGATATGTGCTCACGGCAGTTAATGGCACAGTCACACTGGGCAGTAGCTGGCAGTCACACAGTGGGGTCCAAAGAAGTAAGGGAAGTACATGCCGATGAATTATTCACCTTACTGTAAATCTGTCCCCATCCCCTCCCCTTCCCTCCCCACCCAGCCACTTTCTCTTCCTCTTGGCATGTCACACTTTTCGACTTTGGTGTTTAAGAATGAAAAAGTCTGAGGTTACAGGGACAGTGTCAACACCCTTATACTTAAAAATATGTATGAATATTTTAAAGAATTACTCAGCTTTCCAACTCTATAAATGGTTGATTTCTGAAAAGGAGCCTCCGTGTTTATAGAATATACGCCTATCTACAGTAATGACATACACTGTGCATTAGTAGGATTGGGAAGAGACTGATCTGAAGCTGGTTTGTAACAGTACACATTTTTTTCCACTTCCAATTAATTAATAAGAGCAACAGGGAAACATCTACCCAAAATTTGAATGATTTTGCTGAGATTGAGGAAAATGGAAAGATTCTGAGTTCTAGTCCTCAGGGAAAAAAAAAACATGGTACAGAATTATTTAAGTGTCAAATTCTCACACCAAACTCTGAACAATGCATCTCAACAATTGTTGAAAAACACACAAGCAATATCCCCCAACCTGAATCCTGCCCTGCAATTTTCTCACATTCTTAGGGCTATAAATTAAAGGGGTAGCTTCATTTAAATATTAATTCTGAAACTCTTCATACAAACCATAGGTGTTTAGGCTGCTAAAAATTATCAAATCCTCATTATCTCTGGAATGTCATCAATTTCTCTAATGTACAGTAGTTTTGATGGATAAAACGCTGCATTTGTCTTTTTGATTTTATTGTGATTTTTAAAATTTAATTTATTAGATTTATATGATGCCCACCTCACTGATTAGGCAACTTACAAAGTAATATAAACATAAATATAAAAATAAAATTAAGAAATCATAAGAACTAAACCAGAGCTTGGTTATTTACAATTTGCAAATAAAGTATTATGTTATTGTCACCTCATTTTTTATTTTTTTATTTACAAAAAAAGAAGTAGTAGTCCCTTAATTCAGGGTAAGGTCAGGGTAACTGGATAGTTAAACTGAGTGTTTACTGGTTGGACACCCTACCTGATGCCTACATGGAGTTCACAGCAGATATTTTTTCTTTGCACCCTAAGAGAGAAACATCTGCCACTACCTAGATTTGAACTCTCAACCTTCCTAGTAGAAAGACAGCACCTTCACCACTAACCCACTACACTGGTCCTGTGGCCAGATAATAAAACATAATATTATTTATTTATTTAAAACATTTATATAGCTGTCCATCCTTTCTGGGCATCTCCCAATCAAAAATTAAAAGACATACAAAGTCACATTAAAAGCTATAGAACATAACCAATTATAAAATATAACGCAATAAAAAATCAATTCTAATATACAATTATTCAATCTTCTCCCAATGATCTTCAAAACCTTAAATTCTGGATGTTTTACTATTTTTATTGTTTTTAATTGTTTTAGAATTTTAAAATTGTAAGTTGCCCAGAATCACTTGATAGAGTTGGCTATAGAAATTGAATGAATGAATGAATGAATCAGTCAGTCAGTCAGTCAGTCAGTCAGTCAATGAACAAATGAATCAATGAATAGGTGGAAGCCTGCCAAACTTCAGGGGATAGATTATATATGTATATCAAATATATTTATTGATAAAGTGCCTAAGTCCAAATCCAGTTTTTTCTATAATGAACAGTATATACTATATTTACATAGTACACTTTTTAAATAAGTTACTCTGATATTGTTTCCCATTAGGTGGGCCTATAAGGCCCAATCAGCTACGTTATCTTCTATTGTTGTGTGTGGGTGGGTGTGTATGTGTGAGTAGTTGGATGTCTATGTCTGTATGTATGTGTGTGGTTTTTGTGCAAATTCATTTCTGTTCTCTACATTTGCTGTTGTTTTCCTGTCATTTTTCAAAGATCTCCTATGAAGGGAAGCTGTGACTGTTTTCACAATCAAACTGGATGCTTACATTTCCTGTATCTATTCTTTCAATGCTCAGCCTGCATCAACAGTTCTTTAGCTTAGTTGTGCTAAGTTCTGTGGAATATACAAAGGGCTCAATGACTACCTTTGTTCATCAGAGCCCCAATCCATCCAACACTCCAGGAAACCCCTGCAGCTGGAGGCTGGGCTGTGTGTTTTTACTAACTGGTAGTGGAAATAGAACTGCTGTTCTATTTCAAGTTTTAAAATGTAAAGTGAGAAGCAGATCTTTTCTTTGGAAATATCCAGATTCTTCATTGATTTTTTGTTTATTGATTTATTGCTTAGAATTAATTTAATACAATGCAATGGCTTCTTTCCAGTTCTAGGATGTCTTTTACTTTTAGGAAGTACCACTGTCTTACCTTTTAAAAAAAGAGGAGTAGGTGTAGGAAAAGCATATTTCTAACCTAACACACACACACACACACACACACACACACACACAGAGAGAGAGAGAGAGAGAGAGAGAGAGAGAGACAGACAGACAGACAGACAGACAGAAAGACATTTGCATACAATAGAAGGTAACTTTTTAGCTGAGATTTTTCTGAGTGGTGATATAGCTTATGTTTCTTCCCAAGGCATCTCAGCTTGCTTTTTCTTCTACTGCAGGGTTTCCCAACCTTGGAAATTTTAAGACATGTGAATGTCTAAAGTTTCTAAAGCCAGTTAGAGAATTTGGGGAGTTGAAGTCAACATATCTTAAAGTTGCCAGGGTTGAGAAACTCTGTTGTACTGTGTCAAATAGCAAGATGTTGTCTAACTCTGATTAAAGGAAGAAAATAAAACATATTAATTCAGACAGGGCAATTATCCATAATTTATTCTAGTTCATGCATTAGAGCTAAGTATTTCAAGGTCTTGAACTAAATAGGTAAAAGCTCTTTTGAGTTGGGTGCAACTGCTGGGAAATTCACAGAAGCATCCATGATGCTTTCTGGGCCACTGCAGGACAGTATTTTTAAATTCTTCATTTATTCTTACAGCCATGGAATTTCCTGATGGTACCCTATTCACATGCCACTAACCATGTCTAATGCTGTTTAATGTTTTCCTTAAGAATGGTTAAGTTTAGCTAAATCCTTTTATTTTCAGTAAACCAATGATTAGAAATTGCTACAAATCATGTTGTGCAGGTTGCATTCTCAATTTAATTAATTAGCTACATATTGCTATTTAGGTTTTATAGGGTCTTAGTTATTTATTGTAAAGAAGTTACTTGGTTAATGGTGCACTATTCACTTAGAATTAGAGTTGCCTAGGTTTTTAATATGTCTATGGACAGAAACTAATCAAGGAGAGAAGCAACCTAGAACTAAGGAGAAAGTTCCTGACAGTTAGAACAATTAATCAGTGGAACCACCTGCCTCCAGACGTTGTAGGTGTTCCAACATTGGAGGTTTTTAAGAAGAGACTGGATAACCATTTGTCTGAAATGGTATAGGGCAGGGGTAGGCAACCTTGGCTCTTTTATGACTCATGGACTTCAACTCCCAGAATTCCTGAGCCAGGAATTCATTTAGCATGGAAACCTCTCCCTTTCCCCTCAGCATGGCTGGCTCAGGAATTCTGGGAGTTGAAATCCACGAGTCATAAAAGAGCCAAAGTTGCCTACCCCTGGTATAGGGTTTTCTGCCTGAGCAGGGGGTTGGACTAGAAGACCTCCAAGGACTCTTCCAACTCTGCTATTCTATTCTATTCTATTCTATTCTATTCTATTCTATTCTATTCTATTCTATTCTATTCTATTCTACTCTACTCTACTCTACTCTACTCTACTCTATTCTATTCATTTAATTGATATTTCCTTCACTATTCTGTACTTAGTTTTTCAATGTGATATAAATAATAATTATTATAATTATTATATTATTATAATGTAGATGTATAATGCAGAAGATATTACTGCTTAAGCATGCAAATTTCCATATTATTATTATACTTGGCCATACAAGTATGCAAGGCCCCTTGGTTTATTACTATTGCAGAAAAGAGATCGGCAATATGAGCTAATCTGGGTTTTTGCAGGTCAGATGTTGTGGCCCTACCCCATGATCTGTTTTGTTGAAGGCTTGGAGCAAGGATTAGGTGACAAGGAGGACCCTGGAGGAAATAGAACAGAATAGAATAACAGTGTTGGAAGGGACCTTGGAGGTCTTCTGGTCCACCCTGCTCAAACAAGAGAGCCTATCCCATTCCAGACAAGTGGCTGTCCAGTCTCTTCTTAAAAGCCTCCAATGATGGAGCACCCATAACTTCTGAAAGCAAGCTGTTCCACTGATTAATTGTTCTCATTGTTAGGAAATCCCCCTTAGTTCTAGATTGCTTCTCTCTTTGATTAGTTTCCATTCATTGTTTCTTGTCCTGCCTTCTGGTGCTTTGGAAAAGAAAGCAAGGAGAGGGATGTAGCATTGTAGTGCAAGTCCCACTCATACAAAAGAGGCATGGTTTGCATCACAGTGCCATTTCTTGCTTTTTTAATACGCCTCACCCTGGTGCTGCTGCCCCCGTGTTTGCAAGTCCAAGAGAGATTATATTCTGTATAACTCTTATATCACTACCTACAGCCCTTGTATTTCCTGGCAGTCCCATTTAGGACTAACCAGAACCAGCCCTGCTTGGCTTCTGGACTTCTACAAGGTTAGTCAGCCAGAGTCAGCATGCAATGCCCACCTTGCTATATTTATCACCAGGAAC